AGCGAGGGTGAACTTTATAGCCCCACATGATGCCACCGTTACTGTTGAAATATGACAGTGTGACTGTGGGAAGTGAGAACGAGAGAGAGGTTTTTGACAGGTTACCACTTCCTTTGTATGAAATTGTGCTCAGAAATTCACGCAAAGGGCCGGCTTTCCCATTCCCTGGCTTGGACGGAAATCATTTCTGTCAGTGTAGAGTCAGTTCAAACTGGGTGAGCAAAACACCAGTGGATCAAAACAGTGTTTTCCACCCGTTTTGCACGGCTGCGAATTAAAGCACAAGGTGTAGTTTTAGTGTAATGGGACATCGGTCCCAAGTGTCTTCTGACCGCGGTTAAATGTTCCTCTTTGATCAGGGGGTGTCAATGTTTATTTGGCTTCCCTGGGCCAGATCGGCACCAACCTGCAGCAGCGGGTGTGCAGCGGTGCTATGAACTGTTGCTGTGTCTGTTTGGGGAGTCAAGCGGCTTGGCACAGTCATCACTTGAATCCCTCGCAGGTCTCTGTACCCCAGAGATCAGCGATCAGATCCACCCCCTACATTTCTGGTCCCTCCAAGAGCCGTGTGGGCTGGATCCAGCCTGCAGGCCATGCGTTTAATCCCCCCATCCTAGATGAATGGGAGTTTCACGTGTCTAGGAAGAACAGACACACAGAGCTAATAAGCAGTCAGCTGAACTAAAGGCCGGGGCTTTTTTTTTCCCCCAAGGCTATTATTTTACACAACATTGAGACAAACCCAAAATTATTAAAAGAAAAGCAAATGAAACACAAACAGTTCCTACCAGCTCTAATGTTAGGTTCTTCCCTATTCTCATGCGGACCATCTTGCTGAGCTTGCTTTGTCTTTCACCCTCCCATTTTCCATAGCCTGAATCTGTAGATCTGATTTTCATTCGTCTAAAACATTTTTATTGACAACAATGGCTTGGTTCCACCCATAAGAATATACATATCATTACGCACCAATGTTTCTGCCGCAGCTCTTCTGCTGTCTTGCATGGACTTTCTGCAATTGCAGTTATAAAAAATGATCAGCCGCCAAGTTGGCCAATAGGGGCTGATTCAAAACACAGTTTTCACATGTTCTAACATAACCACTGTGGTTCTGGTTTTAACTGTACTCAGCCTCCTTGATTTTGAACATTTTTCTTTGCATTACATATTCCAGCTGCAAATCCCTGCAGCTCATTGTAATGTAAGCAATCTAGTCCAGAAATAAATTATGATGGCTTAGTCAATATTTAAACCAGATTTATACAGGTGTGTGTCAGTAAGGAAAATAATCTGGTTGCTCATACCCATAAAAATATCTCCTGAGGTTCTTCAGTGAACAACCCCCTCTCCCCAAAAAAATGGATCAATCTAAATATTGGCACACAACAATTACTGGGGACAAAAGGGGGTTGCTTTTACATTTGCTTTGTTTTGTTTCCCTGTGGATCAGATGCAAATCTCATTATTCAGGAATAAGTTTTGCTACCCTCTTCTATGAGGTTATTTGCTACTAAATGGGCACATCTACATGAGACACTTCATGCCCATTGGACCAATTCTACCGCACATTAGCACAGCTGGCAAAAACTGTGCTAATGTGAGATAGGTTAGCCCAATGGGCGTTAAGCATCACATAAAAAGCATTCATCTGTGCTAATGCACAGTAGTGCCAATTACAGCGCATTAAATTAGTAGCTGTTATTACAGGTAAAGCACCATAATTTCAGCACGTTAATGGACATGTAGATGTAGCCAACTGTGAATATGGTCTGCAACTTCCATTGATTTCAACAGATCTATTGTGTGAAAGTGAAAAAGGAAGGCTAAGTCATTGCCTTCTGAAGCAGATGAGGAGGCTTCTTGCCACACACACGTCTGTGGGCCCCAGCAAAAGGCATTGTACTGCATGGAGGGAGAGAATGGGCAGCAAGTGGAGAAGACGGAGCAGTGAAAGGGAGATTGCACATGGTCTACTTGTGCACCCCATGGAGGTTTCCCCTTAACACGTTACTTAAGCCAGAGGCAACAGCTTCTTAGCCATGGGGAGGAGTATTAAATGTCATAGTCAGATGTGGCCCTGAGCATGCACTTTGCCTTCTTTGAGGCTCTGAGCCACAACCACATGGGGTCCAGGCCACTGCTGAGACGCAGGTTTTCACTCTACCAAAGATCCCAGAGGGTTTTCACTCTGCCAAAGATCCCTGAAGACATTCGAGTAGCTGCCAGGTCAATAGGTCATACCTTCCCTGCCTTCTGCCAACAAATTGACAGAGGAACAGGGAGGAGAAAACTCTCAAAAGGGAAAGTAACAGCCTTCTTGCCTGTTCTTAACCCTACCAGAGAACAACCTGGATCTCAGTATGGGACTCTCGGTTTGCCCAATACAAGGAAAAAGCATCGGGGAAATGAAGCATCCAAAAATGAGCAAGCAGTGTGCTAACAGACTCCTGAGTACACTAGCTGCATCTGACTCATGCCAGTAGTACTAACTATTATCCTTTGTTTATTAAGTTGAAACGTGCATTTTATTCCTGAAAGGAGGAGTCTTGATTGTGTTGGCTAAAGCCTGTATAGTGTTAAACCTCTCCAGGCACCTGTGATACTGTAGCTGAGTAATGATTAGTTGCCTTGCATTGTTGGCACACTCCTGCCTTTTCATGCCAAGGTGTGTAGGCTCCTACACCCATACTATAGAAATCAATGGGCATTTGATATGAGAGAGAGCTGAACCTTCATTTCCAGAGGTCACTGACTGGGTACCTTAACCTAAGATGTTAGCTCAGTTTTGATTTTCCACCTCTCGAGTGTGGATGCACAGACTGGCAGTTCTGCAATTCTCCACCTGAGGAAAGATTCACAGTGATTTGGTTTCTCTCTGAAAATTTCATCTTCAGCCTTTGCTTCCTGAGGCAGTCCATCGTACACATGGACGAGGCTCGGAGGCGTAGCCAGTGAAATGCACTTACATGTTGCATCACAGAAACTTCCAGCAAAGAGAAAGAGTTGGAAAAAAAGACAAAAATCAAAGCAGGGCACCTGGGAACCAATATATCCTGCTCCAGCTTTTCCTGAATTAAGCATTAATTTTACCATTGCCATGGGAACAGGACTGGACACAAAACATGTGTGTAACTTTGATGCAGTTAAGAAAATATTTACAGTTCTTCTTAGGATGGTAAAAAATCTTTGTAGATATCCCAAGGGGCCTACAAGTCCCTTCACTGACCTTACCAGCTGAAATTTGGCCAGGGGTTAGTGAAGTATCTGAATTGTGCTGTTAGATGCACATTGGCCAGTGATCTCTTCCCCCAGCCCCATTCCCCAAAGGAGATCTGCACCAGTAGTATAACGAGGGGTGGACAAGAAGGAGCATTCACCCTGGGTGCCAGGTTGGAAGGGGGTGCCAGAATTGTGCCCCCCCCGACACCCCATCAAGTCTGTGCCCTGAAAGCATTGCTATGCAGGGAACTCCAAGACAGTTTCTGACTGCTGCGGCTTTAAGAGCAGCAGCCAGTACATACGCCAGAAGCAGCTCAGCCAGGACCGTATAAGCCCTGGCATGGTTATGGTTGCTGCCCATCCCACAGTCTCAGAGCCCACAGGCCCCTGCATCCAGTCCAGAACTACACACCAACTCCCTCCCCTCCCCCTGCTTGTCCTGGGTGTCAGCCCTGTTAGTTATGTCACTGATCCAAACACAGTTATAATTTTGTTCTAGTCGGAACTCAGACCTATCTCTAATTCTGATTTGCTAAACACCACCAACATAGTTATCACTGGGCATGTCTACATGTGCATTTATGCCACCTTAAATTTACTGCTCAGTAAGTCACTGCACAGTAAGTGGGAATAGGCCAGCATCTACATGTGAAGGCATTAAAGAGCATTAACACTGTGTGTGGACTGACTGGGGCTGAAGTTAGGCATCTACACTGCCCAGTACGGTGTCTACACATGCATTACTGCACAGTAGCTAATAGGGTGTAAATTTGATACCAGCATAATGCCTCAGTACAAGTATCATGCAGGTATGAAATTTACACTCAAGTTGGTGTGAGTCGCCATGTTTACTGCGCAGGATAGGTGTGCACATGCAGACAGGCACCCATACTGTGCAGTAATTTGGGTTACTGTGCAGTAAATGCACACGTGTAAACATGCCCACTGTGTCCCCAATCCACCTGCAAGTCACCTGTACTTGTGGAAGTGGTGGATACGTGCTCAAATGTGTAGAAGTTATTCAAACTTTTTTACTATGCACAATTTAGCAGAGAAAAGGAACAGACTCCATTGCGATCTGTCTGGCACTTCTTGATTCTGATTATACCACAAATACTAGATATAACTTTCATGCATTATTAGGGCAGATTCTGCTTCCATTTCCCACATGGAATCTAGGTGTGCTGAAATCACCAAAGAGTGTGTGTGTGTGTGTGTGTGCGTGCGCGCATGCGCGCATACTTTCCTAGATGAGTATAAGAGAGGATTATAAAGGGAACATTTGAAAACGATCCAAAAGGATGGCTTTGGGTTTGTTGTAGAAATGGTTTGGAATTTCATAACTGTTCCAAAAATAGTTGTGGGAGTCTTACTTCAATGGGTTTGCTACAGGTAAAATATTCAGACTTGCTGAGAGGTCTTCTTAAGTCTGCCTCCATTGAAATTAGGTGTCATTTCACCATTAAGTGAATGGAGCTAACTTAGGTTAAGACCTTTTGAAAAGTCTACCCTATATGGTCTTTAAGGCACCAGACTGTATATTTTTCAGAGTAGGTTTACCTTTCTACAACTGGCTTATGGCCAAAAATAATTGCCTTGACACTATTACATTAATTTGGAGTCAGCAAACAGGATTTAAAGATTATTGTCTGAGGTTCTTATGAGTGCCTCCACCCCGACCACACTCCATTTCCAAACACACTTCTCCTAAAGCAAACACACAGACAATATTATGAACATCTGATGTCCAAATATCCTATGTTAACATCTGTTTTCCCCAGGGATGATATGGTCAGAATGCAAAGAAATCTGGGAAGAAGGGCCTCGGGAGTATGTCCTGCATCTTTGGAACCTGCTGGATTTCGGAATGCTCTCCATCTTTGTGGCATCATTCACTGCAAGGTTCATGGCTTTTCTCAAAGCCACCGAAGCACAACAATACGTAGATCAGTACGTTCCGGATGATGACCTTAATAATGTCACCCTTCCCCCTGAAGTTGCTTACTTTACTTATGGTAAGATGTTTTTTGCTCTTTAATGCTCCATGTTCTTTAAGGGTAACGTGCAGAAAGCACCAGCTTCCCTTTTTAACCTTCTCGAAGCTTTCTCAAATTAAAGTGGATTATTCTCCTCAGATCTATCCATTACAGCCATGCTGGTAAACAGCTACCCCATGCTAAAAAGGAATGGAGATCTAAGCCTCGCTCAGTCTCTGAACATGTACTGAGGCCAGACTCAGCTCAATCACATGTTGAGAAGGCAACAACTAATCTTAAAACCAGAAGGGGACAGATATATTTTAAAGTCGAGATAGAAGAATTTGTTCTGTTCCCTCAAAGTAAAAGAGATGCAAGGCTACTAAATGTATCATCCAGAAGCGATGTGGTCTGGTGAGGTTGATGGACTTCTGTGAAATTGTGGGGGTTTGGCATGTGAAAACATGGGAGGACTGGGCTATCAGTATTAAAGAAGAAACCATCTCTTGAGAAAAGCAACTATGAAATGACATTCCTGATTATTTTTAGTAAATCTAATATCTAATTTGTCTACAGCTGAGTGTTTGTTGCCACGACTTCATGCACCTTTGATTTTTTTGTGGGGTCTCGGTAAGCCTTTGTCTTTTGTATCGTAGTCTACAGCCAGGGGCAGGCAATTATTTTGGTCAGAGGGCTGCTTACTGAGTTTCAGAAAGCCATTGAGGGCTGCATGATAGGCAGCCCAGGGCAGATTAATATTAATTTTCTAAAAGTTTTAGGGGCCCTGCGGGCCGGACATAATGGCCTGGCAGGCCGCATCCGGTCCCCGGGCTGCATTTTGCCCACCCGTGGTACACTGAGCGATTAGATCAGATGTATCCTGCCAGCATGCCATCTAATGACTTTGAGCTACATAGCCCCTTCCTAGGGAAAACAAAAAAATACAGAAGGGAAACTAAGAGAAGTGGAAAAAACTACAAATCTTGTGTAAGCTTCCTTTGTTCATGTTCAAAAGCATCAGCTTCTTACAACGGTCCACTATTTCCGTGCTTGAGAAGCTGCTTTTTGTTATATTGTGTATTGAGGATGACTACTGATTTCTGCAGTAGCTCGTTGCGTTCATTAATAGATGACAAGCAGAAACAATTCTAGAACCACAGTTTTCTCAGACTGACACTCAGTGGGTGCATCTACACGTGCAGTTAGTGCAGCGTGATAAATTCTGGAGCAGTTCACGCCAGAGTCAGCTGCTCCTGGGTGTAGTGTCTGCACATGTGCCCATGACTGCAATACTTAGAGCCAGGGTGGAGCATCCCCCGGCTGGCAGGCAGCCAGGAGGATCAACCCCAGGCTCCTGGTGGTGGCGGAGGATAGTGGAGGGGCTGGCTGGGGCACAAGGGTGCTATAGTGTCGGGCTAGCCGGCAGGCAGCCCCCCCACACTTTTGCACTCTTGTGCCACAGCTAGACACTGTCACCATCTACATGTGCACTGTGCTGGAGTAAATTACTCTGCTGTAGAATAGTACAGTCCTGGACAGTACTATTCTATGGCAGAGTTAATTAACTTGCTACGCCCTAAAATGGGCACACACATAGATGGTGGTGCTTTACTGCGAAGCTCATTAGTCAACTCAACAGTAAAGCTCCTATGTAGATGCACCCAGTGACACCTAAAGATGATTGGTACCCACAAAAGGGCTAGATCCAATAAAAGATATAAGTATCTGATCTGTAAGATGAAATCCAGAGTCCTAATTAGATACCTAGACTCCCTATAGACACCTAGGGGCCCCTGTACATGTGCAGGTAAAGGCGCCATGGGATCCAATATGCGATCCACACAGTTAAGCCTCCTGTCATGTCGCATGTTTTGGGACTCCCAACCCTAGCTGCACATGGTTCAGCCCTGGGGTTGGGAGCCCAGGCAGCCGACCGGGCTCCCAGCCACTAGGAAGACACTGCTACCTGTGCAAATTAAAGCTGGATACCAACCCACTATAAAGGTAGTACACATTTTTTAGGTCTAACCATAGCTGGTTGGAGCATTGTATGGCATGATAGCAACTTCACACATGTAGCTGGTTTTAGTTAATTGTGCAATTAACCAGTTAATTGCACAATACCTGTAATGTGTCGAGGGGTCCCTAAGATTCAGAATGGGGATCTCAACAGCCAACACTCTGAGCAGAAAACTGGCTAAGCTAGCCAATAGAAAATGTTGGGCACAGGGGGTGGAAATCCAGTTAGGCGGTGGGCGTCTCAGTCAAGATTGTGTGATAATGCTTCCATCCGTAACCCAGAGTTCACCCCTTAAATTGGGCGCCTACATATTTTTCTCCAGAAATCATTATTCTTTTTTTCCATACGAATGTTTGTCCTGGTGATACAGGAGCACTCGCACAGAAAGAGGGAAACCTGAGATCAGCTGAGAGGTTTCAAACCCACACCTCCCAGGAGAACGCTCTGCCCACCTGGCTATGAGTTAATCCAAGTGAGCAGTACCCTCCTCCCTTCCTCCTGAAGCTATAATTGGGTTCATAAAATAATTCAAGACTCACTGGGCCAGAAAGGAAACAAAAGGCGGTCTCTATAGGCTAGTGGTTAGGGCACGTGTCATAGGAGGAGTCAGGACAGAGGAAATGTTCCGTTCCCTACTGAGGACCTGAAAGGTTGTGTGATGCAAAATGCATAAATAGTCCCGGGAAAGGGACTAAAACTGAGGTTTCCGTCTGTCCAGTGAGATTCCCATGCTAACCCAGAGAGTTTGCTTCCTTTCACTCTCTCTGCCCAATGAACCCTCTTGCTCTATATTGCCACAGCCGTCAGTGAGAAAAGTCAGGAGTGCTTCTCCATCCAGAATAGCCTGGTGGTTGGGGCAATCTCCTGAAAGATGTGGGTTTGAACTCTCCTGGCTGAGGAAGGAACTAAATTTGAATCTTCCGCTTCCTGGGTGAGCGCTGTCATCGTTAGGCTTTGACATGAAACGTGGGTGGCAGTGACGCCATTGCAGCCATCTCTTCCCATACTCGTGTTTTAAGACAAAACAGCAGCTGCAACTGCATTTTGTACAGAGCCTGCTTCTGTGGTTAGACGTGGCCTGCGAACATCTGCTGCACTGAGCTACTTGGAAGACTTGGGTCCTCATTTCTGGTTGGACTCAGTGGGTGTAAGTCAGGATAATTCCTGGAGCGATTTGCTAGATGCCAGCTGAGCTTCAATGTGTGCAGTCGTAATATTGACAAATAAGAATGTTTTTGGATAAAATATGTGGCAACCGCTTCTCTTACTCGCTGGACAAATAATAATGGTGAGGCCTGAATCTGTTGTGTTGTGTTGTGTCTTCCTTCTGGTTTGCTTCTGGACTATGGAAAATATTTGCTTTTGGTTATATGGTAAGGAGTGCCCTCATGTGGAAGAACATTGTCATTTATAAATCCGTGTCGTTTCTAACGTTAGGAAGAACCTGTAGGGCAGGAAGTCTTGGGAAGCGGGGACGGAGGGGTCCCAGAAAAAGTGGTTGATATCAATCCACTTGTATTTTCTCATTGCACCTGGGGAAGGACTATTTATATTTTAAAAACTGCAAATAACAAAGTGTTCATTTGCTGATAGATTACATTTTTTTCCTAAAAGCTCTTAAGCAAGGCGATGTTTTTCCCAGGCTTATGGAAATTTAATTTGCAACAGAAAAAACAAGCATAAATTAAGCAAAAGCCATACATAATGAAATTAGAAATATAATGCAAGAAAATTATTAAGCATTTTGATACTTGAAGATACATTTTCTTTTTATATTGTGACAAAAGCTGTAGCTTATTCAGATGACAAAAAATAGGGTTTTTTAGGTAATTAAAGAACCTGGAAAAGTTGCCATTACGTATTGAACTGCACTGCTTGCTGATGGAGTTTGGGTTTTATTTGCTGCCCAGCAGTTTACAGCGCAACCTTTATAAATTGATTTTTCTTGCCATTTTGTTTTAGGCCGCTTCATAAAATTCAGTGTAGCACTCCAGCCATACCCATTCAAGTGCAGCCCCTGTCAAAATAAATGAAAATGAACAAACTTAGAAATAATTATATGACCATTTAATTTCAGAAAAGAGCAAGATATTAAAATCCTCTGGGTTTATCAGGGAAACCATAGGTGTTAAATTCTTTTTGAAGTCTATTATACCAAGCAAATGCATAGTAGAAAAACAAAGCATATTGAATATTGTCCCCATAAGGAAAGCTGTTTGCTTTGGCATGGTTAGGTTGGGTTTTTTTCCTTTTGCTTTTTCTATTTATAGACTATGAGTGAAATAGTGAATTGCAAAAATTCTCACTTGACTTCAGTGGAGCCAGAATTTCACTCTACTAGTTCTTCATTCCAGAGTCATGTCATTGTATTAAAAGTCAGCTGCTTTTATTTTGATTGCTTGGCCAAGAGGGAAACAATTTATTGGGAACTGATACAGAATGAATAGCAAAGAGATCTGAAAACTAGTTTTCCTCCTAGATTGGTAAGGCACAAACACGCCATTAAACTGGCATTGTGGTAGCCTTCCGTTCAAGTTACCTTCCAGTCTGCTACCTTTCAAACAGCCTAGGTTCACGCTAATAATACTTTAATTTACTGCCGTGCCATTAGATATGTATTTATGTCACTTCTGAGTCAGAATCCCCACCCCCCTTTTCCATTTTGAATCTCAATTCACGCAAAAGCACCTAGATACGATAATAATAAGAGGGAAATCAACTTTTGGGTAGAGTAGCTAGATGACGTGCATATAGATAATACCAAGAAGAACATCAAGAACAGAAGCAAGAGACCACATTTCTCAGAACTGTTTTCAGTTGGAGCAGTTAACACAAGCTGGAGAGATCAAGTGGTATGGAGGCTCCATTTTTTTTTTACAGGAATAAATCCAAACCTCTGTGGTCTAATGGTTGGGCTGGATTCCAGTGAGTTTCTTTTCATGTTCTTGTGGTGCCCTTCATTCAAAGCAAATAATCCCAAATTAGCAATTACCTTCTTTCTGTTTGCATTTGAAATTGCACCATGACACAACTTTTATGATCTGCAACTGGAACTGAAGCAAATATAGCCAATAAGGCCATGGCCAGGGAGTAAGGGAGCAGGGGTTCTGTTCCTGTCTCTGTCAGTGAGTTGCTATGTGGCCATGGGCAAATCATAAGTAACCTTCCCATGCCTCTGCTTCTCCAAATGCGGCTAATAATTCCTACCCGTTTTGGAAAAGCATTGTGAAACCCACAGCTACTAGGACATTATACTTCTCCTTCCAGTCCTGGTCACAACCAAGACCCAGAATCTATATCACAGGTGATTTATGTTACAGATTTCTTTCCCTAGCTCTTCCCATTACTAACACTTTATGCACATGTATTGTTTTAGCCAGGAACAAGTGGCTTCCCTCGGATCCTCAGATCATATCAGAAGGACTATATGCAATAGCTGTAGTACTCAGCTTCTCCCGCATTGCTTACATTCTTCCAGCGAACGAAAGCTTTGGCCCCCTTCAGATCTCTTTGGGAAGGACCGTGAAGGATATCTTCAAGTTCATGGTCATCTTCATCATGGTGTTTGTTGCCTTCATGATTGGAATGTTCAACCTTTACTCTTACTATCTTGGTGCAAAATATAACCCAGCGTTTACAACGTGAGTACCTAGGAAAGACGACTACAGTGAGTATTGGTTGAGGCATAACAACCTTCCTTTCTAGGCTGCCTCCTGGGTAATTTTGCATGCCTTTACGTGACCAATGCAGTTTACACTTTATAGCTGAAACATACATTCAATTATTCAAAGCAGTGTAGAGGTTTCTCATTGCACGAGCCCATTAAAGACAAAAAGACATGCTTGGCTAAAAAATTCTTCATGGTTTAATAGGCATTACAGTTTAATGCTTAGCTATCCTCAGGCTAAGTGCTCATCCAGAAGTCTCTCTTAGTATCACAGAAAAGTAGGGCTAGAAGGGACCCTAAGAGATCACCTAGTTTGACCCCCTGAGGCAGGATGAAGCATGCCCTGAACATACCCAACAGATTCTCCCTCCATCATCTCTTGCACTTCCATGTCATCACTCACCATCCCTCCTGTGGACTCAGCCACCTTCATTCTCCCTTCCTGAGCAGCTGCTTCTCATCCTGATTTTTGGGGTCCCTCTTGCCTCTTGTCAGAGCAGCCTAGTCACTCAGTCATGCGTCTCCTTTTCAGTAAGCATTCTGCTATCTTTGATCTCATTAAATGCACTGCAAGGCCTTTTCTGGCTCACAAGTTCATGGTGAGAGCTCAGTATCTGCCAACTGCCTCCAGTTTTACATGCTTTAGATTTTCCTTGGGTCAGAGATGTCCCAGGATACTCTGTAGGCATCAAACCTCCTTGCCTCAGTCACATTATCTCTGGCTTGCATTGAATGGCTTGCCAGCACGACAACTGAATGAGACCTGGGTGTCATGATTGGCAACAAAATGAACATGAGCCACCAATGTGATGCTGTAGTTGGCAGAGCTAATCAAACATCTACCAAGGCATCTCAAGCAAGGCTAAGGATGTCATCCTCCCTCTCTACTCGGCCTTGGTGAGACTGCACCTGGAATACTGTGTCCACTTCTGGGTGCCGCACTTCAGGAAGGATGTGGAGAAGCTCAGGAGAGTCCAAAGGAGGGCCACACACATGATTAGAGGCCTAGAGACCAGCTCATACAAGGAGAAGCTGAAAGACTTGGGACTGTTCAGCCTGGAGAAGAGAAGACTCAGAGGGGACTTGGTGACAGCCTATAAGTATATCGGGGTGTGCATCAGGGTTTGGGGGAGCATCTGTTCACCAAAGTCCACCAGCTGAGGACAAGAAATAATGGGCAGAAGCTGAGTGAGGATCACTGCAAGCTAGACATAAGGAAAAACTTCTTTACAAGTCAAGTACCGAGGTTTTGGAACAGGCTTCCTCAGAAGTGGTACAGCTACCCACCCTGGCGAGCTTCAAAAAGTGTCTTGACACCCATCTTCCTGTCCAAGTGCAAAGGGGCTGGACCCAATGATCTGTAAGGTCCTTTCCAGCCCCCAACAACTATGAAATTATGAATGGGGAGGTAATGCTGAATCTTTGATTAGAAAGCTTGCAGTCTCCCATTTTGACGTTAGATCCCAAGTCTTCTGGAGAATGTGGCATCAACAGGGACAGAAGCCTGGTAATTTAGAAATTCTTTTTTCTGGAGGAAAATAGTAAAAAAAAGAACAAGCAAGAAAGGGTTTTTTATGGGATGAGTGAATGTGAAACAAAAATTTTCATAAAATTATCTCTGAAAATAGCAGTGGGGAACCGTCTTATGAATCACTTTAAAAAAAGAGAACAGAACAGCTTAAGTATATGATTTTTGTTAGGCATGTATGACATGGCAAATATTTGCTTCGGATTTGGATTCGGCTGATTTGGAGGGACAGTGATTTGATTCGGAGATTCAAATCACTGTCCTGATTTGATTCAGCCAAATTGGATCCGAAGATTTGGCACCGCTTCAGAGATTCGGCGATAGACTAAACAGGCAGCAGTCCTCACCACGCTGGACACAGCTGGCTCCAGCTGGTAAGTCTGTTGTGGTGGGTAGAGGGGGAGGGCAGGGGAGTGGGAGGGCAGATCAATGCCCCCACAGCGAGGGAGGGATTGGAGCTGGGGCTGAAACAAGCTGCCCAGTTGGGGGG